ATTCTGGCTGGAGTGGCTGTTTTGGCTGATTCTGCTGATTTAAGAAAAATATATTTTTAAAATATATTTTATTAATAAATTAAAGAAAAAATTATATGTAAAAATAGCTAAAATGGTCCTCTACAGTAACTTCAGCCAATACAGCCAGAAAACTAACTTCAACCTTATTTTTTCGGCTTATTACACAATTAAGCGCGCAAAAGTAAAAGTTACATGTTTGGTGAAAAAGCTGGCTGATAAGCCTGATAAGCCGAAAACAGAGTTCTCCAAACGGGCTCTTAGAGTGAGCCGTACAATAAACGAAAGGGGTTGAAATTTTAGTCCGATCCAGAATCCAATTAAATAAAATGAAACTTTAAAACAAAAATGGGACTTAAGTCACGCTATTAACACTTTACAATTCAAATCATATCCTATCAAAATCATATCATAGCAAATTCAATCTATAAATCTATAAGTATGATTAAAATTAAATGGGTGATATGCACATTATCTGTGTGCACAAGTAACAGAACTATATATAAGTTTGTTTCCAATGTGTATAACTTTTCATGTACAATTAATATGCTTCATCTCGGAATTCATTTTTTAAAAATCATTAGGAATTACTATTCGAATGTGGGACTAACAAAGGGGTTGAAATTTTAGTCCGATCCAGAATCCAATTAAATAAAGGGAAATTTACTAGGATATGGCTAAAAGTCAATGAGTTTCTCAATCTATGACCTAACTAGTTTTTATACCGTTGTATGACCAAAAATCCAAAAATAAATAGAAAATTCGTTTATATTTAAATGTTGAATGACAAAAATACCCTTATTTAAAATAATGGCATTTTGCACTAATTTCGTCCAATTAAAATTACTGCACTTTATATTGCCGTTAATGCACAAAATTAATGCATGACTTTACTGCACATCCGGTAATAATCACTGCACTTCCCCTAAAATTAATTCTCTTCTTATTCAATTGAGGTTTTTTTTAAAAAAAATTAATAATTTTATTATTTTACGTTTAATTAAGTATATTGCATTTGATGATGATATCATTGCTTTGTGTTACTGCAATACTGATCATAATCACTTCCCAACAAAATTTCTTAATGCATTCGTTCACTGCCATGTACAACATGTCTATTATCATATATATTTACTATCAATACTCCGCACTTATTGAAATGTTCAGTGATGATATTCAATGCCCATATTTAATGGTCACAAACCCTAAATTCAATATAAAACCAAATCTTAAAAATTAAAAAAAAAAGGAAGAATGAGGGTGACAAATGGAAGAAGAATCAAGGTAGTGCGTGTTTCAAGTTTTCAACATATATACTCTGCGCAAATCAGACCAATTAATAATTTTAAATTGGAAAAAAGTTACTCTCAAGACAAAAATCAAATTCAAATTCTCTCCCATCTTGTTGTTCCAGACTTGCAGTCACAAGCTCCAAGCCAACTCCTCCAAGAATAGTCGCCATACCATGGATGCCACTCCTTTGCTGCGAGGGTCGAAGTTGTTGCGTAATACAAGGACTGTCGGACTGGAGCTCCATCTCCCGTCATAAGTTGCTAGTTGGACAACTCTGGATCTCCGGCATGAAAGGTGCTGCCCTAAGAACGGGTGACAAACGGTGGTTGGCGGCTGGGCGGCATTGTAAGACGGCTGGGTAACAAGCGGCAGCGGCGGCTGGACATTGGTACAGAGATGGGCGATGGATAGGTTACCATTAGGGTTGGTAGGATGATTGGGTTTTATAATAATAAACAAAAGGGCATATTAGTCCATATAAAATATTTATTTAATTATTTATTAATGTATTAATTAAATATGACAATTTTTAGTATTATTTTGGTAAAAAAACTTATTAGGTCATAGATTAAGAAAATGATGTAGTTTTAGTCACACCTAGGATAATTATTTCTTAAATAAAATGAAACTTTAAAACAAAAATGGGCCTCAAGTCAAGGTATTAACACTTTACAATTCAAATCCTATCCTATCCAAATCATATCATAGCAAATTCAATCTATAAATCTATAAATATGATTAAAATTAAATGGTCCCGGCGGGGCTCGAACCCGCGACCTTCGGCTCATAAGACCAACACTCTAACCAACTGAGCTACGGGACCACATATATATTAATTGTCACATTTTTCTTAATTAAAACAATTTTCTTTATTAATTGTTCTATGTTCAACGAAGCACGGACACACTAATGTTAGTATATGGAAGTATCCTAACTCATTAATCGTTTTCCTGCGTTTTTTATTTATTAATTCTTCCTATTCAAAATAAAGAATTTATCATTACTGAAAGTAAAACGTTTGTAAATTTCAAAATAGATATATCATCAATTAATTACTATCATGATTTGGCATTACAATAGTTTAAATATGACAGTATTGTCTAAACTTAGCTTGACAGTAAACATGACAGTGTTTTGTTGTTGGTGTTAGGGGTTATAACATTATATTGCACCAATATGTTAGTATTTTGTAATGATCTATTTTAGCCCTTTTTTGTTGCATAAATTTTTTTTAATACAAACTCATAGACTAGCTATTATTGTGTTTAGATTGCCTGTGCATCCGGCTATGTTTGGTCGGATGTGGCGGTAACACCTTTCTTACATTAAGACTTCCGCTGTATTCTTTAAATTACATTATCAATAAATAAGAGTTTCTTTTCGATTATATCATTGTTTTGGGAGAGGAAATTTGGGGGTGTTACAGGAGTAGATAGATTGACGGTTTATCCCCCTCCTGAACCGCCGCCTTTGAGTGATCAAGGTGTCAGGGTTTGGAAGATGATATTTCAAGAAAACAAGCATGAAGAAGTTTAGAGTATTTATTAGTTATTTTATTTTTATGGTCTTATTTTTACGTTATGTTTGTTTATGTTGCTCTGTTCTTTTGTTGATGTCTTTAGTTTTAGGTCTGCAATAATGATTGACAATTCTGCTAGATATTATGTCGTTAGAAAAGTCTATATGGCCAATGATTGCTGTGTCACACCCATTTGGTGGTTAGCGATTCATATTGCTCTTTCAAGGGTGATTGTTTCAAAGTCTATCTGTAGGATTGATAGTGATAGTTGTTGTTAGTGTTGGTCTCTTTAAATTTGTTGTAACGATCTGAATCCTATTGATATTAGTATAAGTGATTTTTTTCTTTAAAAAAACATATAGGGCTCACCCTATTTAACAAAAATGAAGGAATTCAATTTTAATTTGTTGATTCAGAACAACATTTGGTTATACATTTACTCATATCTAAGTTAGAACTATCGATATGACCCCGATTTAGTAAAAGTACAGAAATGCATTATAAAGATTAGAAATTAAAAAAATAAAATACAATCTTATTAGGAATATGATGGAGTAAAGCAAAATGACTCACTAAGCTATTTGCGCCTTTTTGTTATGAAGCAGTAGTCAGTCCATGCAATTTTTGACGCGATTTTCACTATGGATCACCCGGAAACAGTCTCTTTGTGCGATAGTATAGGAGTAAGACACTACGTACATCTGATCCCCCCTATCCCATCACAGGTGGGGAGCCTTTGCAGCACTAGGGTCTGGGGTAAAGATATCAAAAGGTTGAAAATAGACATACTATCAAATTCATTCTTATTTCACTAAAACTGGTGTTTTACCCGGCTGTAATTCTGAGGTGCATATTGATGGAGGTCGAATACTTTGTAATGCATACATTGTAATACTTTGTAATACTTTGTAATATATACATTCTTTGATCTATAGATAATTCATTAGTTAATGTCGTATAATAGTTGGTTCACTTTAGAAATAATGACCCCTAAAAGGCTAAAATAAGGCCTTCACTATAAGTAATACGTAGTACTTTAGTTAAAGAGAAGATATTAAAACGGGAATAGTACACTATGTTTGAATTGCATAGCACCAAAGAAATAAAACATCTCATTATTATTAGGTTTTCGAAAATCATCTTACGAACAATATTCACATCTTGTTAGACGAGCCCTCTTTTGAACGTATGAATATATAAAGATTATTTTTGTTCCCTACTCTTGATCTTGCTAAGTAAAATTGGCTACAAATGAAAACTCTTCGATCTCTCAACAAATTAATCAACCCGCATTCACTTATTGATTGTCATGGCAAAGCACACCAACATAAGAAATTCTTTCACTTAAAAATTTGAGTGATATAGTAATAGAAAAAACAAGGCCATAATAAGTCAAGGTTGAATGTGAATCACATGAGGGAATACCGATCTTTCCCTAGCCTCGGCCATTAAAGTAGTTGATTGATTTGAGTGTATAAATGGTTAACAATTTATAAAATAGATTAAGATGTAGTTGTAATTGACTATACAAATAAATGATCATAGTAAGACCACACTTGACACATAACTCTAGTGGAATCATATATGACGGTGTAAAATCAAAATAGAAGATAGACTAATAAATAAGATGCGTTCTCTACGTCCAAAGATGTACTGTAGTACTATCCTTCGTCTCTTTTTAATCGCAACATGTTGAATTTTAGACTATTCACATGTTCTACTTTGATTACATTTTATATTATTATTTTATGAAAATTATTTTTTTAAAATTATATTGTTCAATTCATCTCATTACAAATTTTCAAAATCTAATTTTTAAATATTTTTTACTAATGGGGATTAAGATATAATTACGGTCAAAGATGTGTGTTGGCAAGTGTGAAATGTTGACCGTTGCAACTAAAAAAGAACGGAGGAAGTATTAAATAATCTAGAAATGAACAAAAAATACCGTCTTTTCTTTTGTTTCTTCCAAGTTTAATTTAATTAATATCCAACTATAATACCAACGACTTTTGTTTGACAATTACCTTTTTTTTGTTTCTAAAGCACAAAAAGCAAATCTTGATTATAAGTTGAGCCCTTTGATTAAGGAGAGATACTATTAAACCGCAATACTTTAATGTGTCATAGAGAGGGAGGTAAGGAATTCGTTTTCTGCTTTGTGAATTGTGTGATTCATTCAACTGCTTTTTGAAAAGTGGGAAAAACTTGTCGGCTAGTGATGGATTCCACGCCAATCTTTTTTTCCTTCACCCCACCCCACCCCTCCCCTCCCCTCATCTTATTCAGATGTTTCTTCTCTAAGACTAACTAATCACCATATTCCTGTGATCTGCCATTTTTCCACCTTCACTTTGCACAGGCATGCTAATTCTTGCTGTTTTTTCCTTTAAAGATTACTTCTTTACATGTTTTTAGTTTCTTGGATTAATCTGTGTCTTAATTTGGGAAATGCTATATAGTAAAGAAGTGCCTGAAAAAGGAGGGAAAGATCTTTTTTTAGAAATATTGTGGCGCATAAACAGAAGGTTTGATTGATTAATTAGTTCTACTTTCTCTGCTTAATGAATTTCTGTACAGGAAGTTGAAGGATACCTGTATACATCATCAGCTATGGGTTCTGGAGAATGGTTTAAGAAGATAATCAATTTGAAAAAAGAAAAAGACAGGAGAGGCAAAAAGGTAATGGTGAGCTGCAATTCTTTCTCATTGCTAACAATTTATTCTCTTTCTTCTTTTTCATTGGTTATAACTATGAAAAAACTCTAGTTAATTCACTGTTCTAGCCTCTGTTTATGTTATATTGTTATTTACTGACCAGAAGCATGAGCCCTAAGAATGTAGACAAGATGATTCATATCTTATTCTAAACCAAAATGTTGATTTGAAAATATGTAGGTTTGTATCTTTAAGTTATTTCAATGTGAGATGATTCATCCTTAGCATCCTTTAAATGCTGATGAAACTTGAAGTGAAATTCACATGATCGCTCTGAACTAAAGATATTTGAATATGATATGATTAATGTTCATGCTCAAATGCTCAATTTGCGATTACCTTGATTGAAGTAGAAAAACATATACTAATTCCAACTTTCTTTTCCATGTGATAGGGATTTAAAGGGACAACTTGGAGCAAACGCAACAATTACCTTCTCATGAAGGAGCCTCCTAACATAGGAAATGGCATTTCAGATTTAAACGTCAAGGCTCTTAGTATGCCAGTTGAACATATAGCCGCAATACGGATCCAGAAAGCATTCAGAGGACACATGGTATGTCACATTTAGATAATTTATCTCTGCTTCATTAAGAGGCTCAATACTTTATTGTTTTATGTTTTACCAATGTGGTACAAACACTCGAATCAAAAGAGGCTACCTTAAATAAAAGTTGCAAACAATCAAATTACAATTGAATCAAAGTTAAATACTTTATCATATTAGGATTTGAGGTTCTTTTGTAGTTTTGTATACGTTAACAATTTAGTCATTGATGTGGCACAAACACTTTAACATGTCTAATTTCTACTTTTGTTATCTGTCTTGGATCAGTAGGTCTTTGTAATACATTTACTTGCATATTCACAAAGTTATTTAGCTAGTCTAAAGTTAGAAGAACATTGCGAAATGCTAAGAGTCTCAATATCAAAATATTAGAGACATGAGTTTATAAATGTAGGCATTAGACTCTGCTATTAAATTAGATTCAATCTGTTAGATTCATTTGAATCATTTCTATCATCTAATCTAATCAGGCGAGGGCGCTGCATGCCCGAACATTTATGACTTGATGGGATTTTATCTCCTTGCATTTGCCATCTTTCTTTATTTGTTAGTACTATGTACTCCCTCCGTCCTTGAATGTTGTTCCAATTGCGGATTACGAAGGTTGACCGACGATAAAGTTAAATGATCCCTGTGAAAACTCGGATTATTTTTAGTAAATAAAATTTACATATTCAGAAACTACATTAAACCCGCTACAAAGCCTGCAAAAAAAAATCAATTTTCATAAAGTTTTGATACAAAAAGTAAGAGTTTAAGAGTAATTTAAGTTGACTCTCGAAAAGCGAAATGGAAGTAAATTTAGGGACAGAGGGAGTATCATCTTTGGTTGGGATAACCGCACTTTTGATCCCTTTTTAACCATTTTAATATATAGTCTCTGCCGCTTCATTCCTCAACTGTATATGAATGTTGTAAATACTGTCCTCGATGTTATTAACTAAGGGACCAATACTGCAATTTAATTAATAACGTCAACTCGTCAGGAGCGACAATTACAACATCTTAAACAATTGAGGGTGAATTTATAAAATTGAAGAGGCGGGATTATTGCTTTCAAACCAATATAAGAACATCCTGACCAATATGATCATGCTAATCATCTCTTTGCCTAAATTCCATTGGGCTTATGACATAACTGAATCTATGGCCTATTGCAGGCGAGAAAAACATTACACCGCTTAAAAGTGGTAGCTAAAATAAAGATCCTCACTGATGGAAATCCAGTAAAAAGGCAAACCTTAACAACTTTGAGGTATCTCCACAACTGGGCCCAAATGCAAGCAGAGATTAGAGGTCGACGTGCTTGCATGGTAGTGGAGGGTCTACTCCGGCAAAAGAAGCTTGAGAATCAGTCAAAGCTCGAGGCAAAGCTTCAGAATTTAGAGGTCTGCATTTTTGTTATATATTGTTACAAGTGATGAGTAAATTAACATATATATTTTGTATGAAAACAAACTTTGATATGATAGGTGGAGTGGAGCAACAGCCCGGAAACGAAGGAGGAAGCTCTTGCGAGAATTCATCAAAGAGAAGACGCTGCGGTGAAGCGAGAGCGCGCCTTGTCCTATGCCTTTTCTCATCAAGTACGTTTTCGTCACTCTTTTTATTAAGGACTTTTCACGAACTTTAAACGCGAAAGATAAACGCTAATGAGGGGTGAAAAACACTAATGAAAGAAGCTTAAGGGAAAAATATTAAAAATATTGAACAGGAAATCTTCAATTTCTTAAGGCTAGTCTTGCACTTCTTGCCCACGTAAAATACTTTACATGGTACAGTACGAAATGTTTTTAAAAAGTGCCCTACAGTTTGCATTAAATAATCAAACCAAACAGTGTAAACGTTTTACGTCCTTACACTTCTCATGCAAAATAATTATTTGACATCCTGCCAAACGCCCCCTTTGTGATTCTCATTGTTAATAGTTTGACCACACCATATTTGTTACAGTGGAGGGCAAACTCAAATACTATGCATGGATGGAATAACGTCTTACTCGGGCAGGCCGCTAATTGGGACTGGAGCTGGACGGATCGTTGGATTGCTTCCCGGCCATGGGAAAGCAGAAAAGGCCCTAATAAGCTGAGAAGTAACAAGTCACTTAAGAGCCCAAATGTGCCTGTTCATGGGAAAGTAACTACAAAACCCCGCAGGCTATCTATTGAGTCAGGCCAGGAGCTTGCAGCCATGAGAACCTCCCAACCTTGAGTTCTTCTGAAAACAGAGCCCTATCTTTTTGGTGATTGTTTTTTTTAAGTATACTTGCAACCACTTTTGAGTTATACAAAAGTATATTGTGAATAACCATAGAGAAAATTATTTAATTGGTAGGAGTATCCATCATTATATAAGTGTTTCCTTCTTAAAAATGCTTTAATTTACTCACCCACGTTTTGTAACACTTTTACGGAGTATTTTTTTATGCTAGCTTTTAATAGAACCACAAGTCTTAGTTTGAATGTTTGATGGTAATTTGGAGTAGTGGAACATGTTACCCTAATATGGGGCTTCATAGACGTATTTATATCATAGGAAATGTATCTAAGTTACAGAAATAATCATAATAGATTATATCATTGCATCTCCTCAAGGTGTGCGGGTGAAACAATGCACTTGTTGCCTTTCTGGAAATGAAAAATTTGATGAAGAGACTTTTAGTAAAAACCTCCCTCTACAAGTTGAAGACGTGTGGAAACTTAATTAAAAACAAGATCTCCATGTGCTACCCTTCAGAAACAAAGTGATAAATCAAATTTAATATATTTGCTATGAGCATGTTGAACGGGATTAGCAGTCAAATAAGATGCTTAAACATTATAACAAAGTAGCTAAACTTGATCTTGAGCATATAGAAAAGTCAAGCTCGAATAAGATAGAATGAATGTGCAAGGTATCATGTATTGTATAAACCATAGCGTGATATTCTGCCTCTGTACGCGACTTGCAGATAGTGAGTTGCTTTTTGGACTTCTAAGATACAAGATTGGAGCCCAAAATACAGTAAAACCAAGAGCAAAGCAAGAACTATCAGGACAATGAGCTCAACAAACATTTGAGTAAGCCAACACGTAAGTGGGTTTGGCGGAAGTTTGTAGCCATGATCAGAAGTTCATGTACCCTTTTGTTGGAAATTTCTTTGTCTCCTTTCACTTGGCCTTGACCTAGCCTCGTCTAGGGTGTGCCTATGGGTGTGTTTTGCCACTTTTAAAATTGAGGGTTGAGAATTTCTGTTATGTCTGCAAGTGGCAAGTGGTTTTTTGGTGAATTCATAATCGCATTTGTCCGGTTCATACTTTCTCCAGGTTTATCTTCATTTTGTTCTTCCAAATCTTATTTATTATAATGAGCATTGTGAGTTGGAATTGTCGAGGGTTAGAAAACTTGGCCATTGTGCAAGTTCTGGTTGATTTAGTTGAGGATAACAAGCAACCAATGATCTTCCTAATGGAAACCAAAGCGCAACGTCAGCGGTGTGAGGACCTTAGAGAAGTGTTGGGTTTTGATCAAAGTTTCGTGGTGGATAGCTTGGGCCTGAGTGGCGGTCTCTGTTTACTGTGGCAAGGTCATGTTATCCTCCTGATAATTTCTTACTCAAGCAACTATCTCTATTGTTTGGTGAAGATTGAAGGAGAACTGGAGTGGCGGTTTACTAGTTTCTATGGATTTACTGTGAACCACACAGACAGAGAGAATCTTGGAATTTGATTAGCGGTCTTTCCTGGTAGATGTCCAAGCCCTGACTAACGATTCATAATTTTAATGATATTGTGTTTGGTGGAGAACAGAGAGGGTGTCTTCCTCAACCAAGATGGCTTATGAAGGGGTTCAAAGAGGCTGTTTGGTGTGAAATTTGATGGCTATCAATGGACATGGGAGTATGGTAGGGGAACGAGCTAATCATTTGAAAAAAAATTAGACCGGATATGTATTAGCTAACGATGGATGGTTGAAAATTTTCAATGATACCGATGCTACGTCATTGGAGGGTCCATCTAGCGACCATCTGATTCTTTTTCTGAAGCTAAATATATTTGGGAGACATGGGTGGAGGAGTGCGTTTAAGTTTAGAATGTGTGGCTCAAGAAGAGGATTGCCGAGAGGTTGTGATCCGGTGCTGGAGGGGTAACTCACAGCTTAATATTTGGCAGTGGGTACCATGATGTGGTCGTGAGCTAGAACTCTAGAGTAGAAGGAAAAATTTTGGTTTCCAATCTAGAATAGATTTATGCAAGCGGCGTGTAGCCTATCTCAAAACAGCTGGTGGACTTGGGAGCAGTGCAAGTTCCAAGGAGTCAAACAAAACTTATTGGTTCTTCTTTATTAGCAAAATACTTTTTGGAAGTAGCGTGCCAAGGAGTTGTGATTAAAAGAAGAGGGTGTTAATTTCATATATTTCCATAATGGCGGTTAAGCAAAGACGGGGGAGAAACATAATGAGAGGACTAGAGGCAGCAGATGGAGCTTGGATAATTACTGATAGAGGAAAGCTCGAAACCATAGTGATAGACTGTTTTTTATCATTGTTCTCGTCGGATAGTGATAACTTAATTGGACTACATCTTTCTGGCTTAGCATCTGTGGTGAAAAAGCATAATGAAGTTCTGATTATACCAATTATGACAATGGAGGTGACTAAAGCTATGTTTGTTATGCACCTTGATAAAGCGCGTTAACCCAGATGATTTAAATTCTGGTTCTTTCAGTATTATTGGGACTGTTGGTTCCGATGTTGTGGGTTTTTGCCAAAAGATCTGAGTGAAGGTAAGCTCCCAAGAGAGGTAAATCTTACTAATATTACCTTGATGTCTAAGGATAAGCCTAAAAAATTTGGCGACTAGCGACCCATCACACTCTGTATGGTAATTTAATTTTTTTTGCTAAGGTACTAGCAAATAGACTAAAAGGTATTCTTCAGAGGTTGGTTTCTGATTATCAAATTGCTTTTATCCCGGAAAAGATTGATAATAGATAATATTATGATTGCTTTTGAAATTCATTATTATTTGAAACGGATAACTCGGGGAAAAGAGGGCTTTGTTGCGTTAAAGTTGGATATGAGGAAAGCGTATGATAGGGTGGATTGGAGCTTTTTGGTTTGGACTTATCTCACTTAAAGGCCGCAATGTGATGCAAGGAATGTTAGATGCCCATTTTTGGTTCGTCGGGTTGAGAAAAAATCGAGAAAGTTACATTCTCAGGGATGTAATATGGAGGGGAATGTTAAACTCATCCATGTCTTAGGTAATCTGACATTCTCGGGGATGATCTGATTTTCTTCGGAAAATACCCTCAATCAATTATCTCTTTTCATTTAATTTCTATATATATCCAACGTTTATCAAATCTGATTTTTTTGTGACATTATAAAACTTTTAATATAGTTTCTGATTATGTAAATTTTATTTACTAAAACAAATCTTATTGACAGAGATCCGTTAATTTGATGGTCAGTCAAATATCGTAAATTGTGTGACAACCTTTTAAGTGGGACGGCAGATGGAGCATGTTTATTTATTTTTTTGTTCTTTAATTTGAAAACAAGTTTTACGAATAACTTATACATTTTTTTGATTGATTTTTTTTATTTGAAATGATAATAAATATATTTAGATTACTATTTGAAAAAAGTTTTTTTGTATTGGATCTACAACTTTTTACAATTAAACATACTTTACTTAAAAATAATTCAATTAGTTTTGATTTTATTTATTATTAAGATACTACTGTTTTTCTTTAATTTCAGTTAGTTTAGATGTAAGTTGTTGATAGAGTATATAGACTCGGACCCTGGGTATCACGACTATTGGCCCAGACAGCGGCCCGGATAGCGGCCCACATATGTTCAGTAGATAGCATTTATTTCCTTGTACACTATATTTATTCATATGTACCCATTAGAATAGATTAGATACCATTTATTAGCCATTTATTGGCCTTTTATTGTAGTTGGGCCTTCCAGGCCCAAGCCTGGAAGTCCAGCCCACTTTTCTCCTATAAATACTCCCTATGGGAGCCATGTAAAGGATGGTTGATTGGAAGGTTGGAAGTTCATTATACACATATCACTTTATCTCTCTAGCTCTCCCTTCTCTCTAGATAAATACTCTATCAGTTGTAATAGATTAATTTTGTTAAGAGAAAATATTTAAAGGACATTGAAGTAATCCACCGGATCTGCCATATACCGATAGTAAATATCTTTCAACCAAATAATTTAATGTTATATTCCTTTAATCTTAACCAAACATAAATGAGAATAAATTGAATACATTCCCATCAATCTAACGTACTCAACAATCTAATATTAAAGTGATGGAAGCTATGAATCTCTCAGTGAGGTGGATCCGTTTGATTGAGGAGTATGTGTGCTCTGTTGAGTACTTCATTCCTTTTGATGGTACGGTGTTGGGACTAGTGATATCTAAATGGGGACTTCGATAGGGGATTTCTTGTCCTCATACATTTTTAAGCTCGTGGCAGAGGGATTGAGTTTGTTAATCCGGAAAGAAGAGAGCCTGGGAAGCAGTGGCGGAGCCAGGAATATCAAGTTACAGGGGCCGTGCCTTAAGTAATTTATATAGCCGGGGCCAATACTTGAATATTCACTATAATTTTTACTACTTATAAATATTTATACATGTGTATATACATCACAAATTTTTTCTTGCAGGGGCCACGGCCACCGCCAGCCACCCCCGTCTCCATCCCTGCTGGGAAGAATATGTGGTGTTTCTATTGCTTGAGATGCTCCAGGGTCTCTCATCTTTTTTTTCAGCTGATGACAGTTATCTATTCTTTCTAGCCATCTTGGGGATTGTGGAGCTATTAAAGATATTCTGCAACGGTATGAAGGTAGGTTAGGACATGCACAAAATTAATTTTAAAAAATTCTCTATTCTTGTAGCCCGAATGTGGCAGATGATATTACAGTGGATATTTGCAACACTTTTGGTGTTGATAAAGAGGGAGATAATCCTTGCTACTTGGGGCTTCTAGCCTTGATGGGAAGGCGTAAGTCAGAGACCTTGGGTTACATGTAGGAGTGGATTATGAATAATAAATCTTTATCTAATGTAGGATGAGAAGTTCTCCTAAAAATTGTTGTCCAGGGTATGCCGTGGTGAATGTTTTTCCTTTACTATTAGATTATTTTGCAAATATTGAGAAAATCATCAATGGCTACCGGTGGAGAGGAAGAGACGTGGCAGGTAAGACACATGGCTTGATCTCATTATTGAAGATATTAGACATTTGCTTCACAACAAGACTCAAATAGTCATGTCAGTATTTCTTCGTTTTTCTCTAACAAAACTCCAATTGTCACATAAAACATATTAAAAATAATAAGTTTTTATTATATTTTTTATGACACCAATATTGCACATATAAAAATGCAGCACATTTATTTTTTTAAAATTGCTATAACTTGTTCACTTATACTTCAAATGTTACAAAAACATACCAAAATTCATAACTTTTTATCATCTTTTGTATGACACGAATATTACATATATACAAACTAAACATAATTTAACACATTAAAAAATATTATTTTTTAAGTGCTATAACTTTTTTTATTTATACTTTGATTGTTACAAAATTATACCAAAATTCATAATTTTTTATTATATTTCATATAACACCAATATTACATATATAGAAATAAAAGAATGAATCCAATTACCTACGGTATAGAATTTTTTACAGTACACCCTAATAAGAGGGTGTTTGGAACTGATTCTGCTTCTTTTTTAAAGCAGAAGTAGAATCAGTTTTCAGAAACTGGTCCCCTCCAGCTTCTTAAGAAACTGATTTTAGGAGTAAATTAAAACACCAGAATCACTTCTGCACTTTCATTCAAACATTTCGACTTCTGTTTTTGCTCCCTGAAGGAGCACAGTTTTAAGAATCAGATCCAAACATCCCCTTAGGGCTGTGCACGGGTCGGGTTCGGGCGGGCCGGGTTTGCGAACCCTAAACCCTAAAGTGTTTAAATGCCACTTTGACAAAAATTGTACACACTAGTGCACTAAACATCCAAATTACATAAATAATTTAACACAAATTGCACAAATAATTACACAAATAATTGAACACAACTACTAATTTAACATATTCTAAGTACACACTACATAATTTAATATATTTCGGATATTTCGGTTATATTAATACACATTATAATTGGATAATTAAAGTGTTGGAATGCCACTTTGACAAAAATTGTACACAGTAGTGCACTACACATTCAATTTACACAAATAATTTAATACAAATTGCACAAATAATTATACAAATAATTGAACACAAGTATTAATTTAATATATTCAAAGTACACACTAACATATACTCCCTCCGTCCCATTTTACCTGTCCTACTTTCCTTTTTGGGTTGTCCCAAAATAAGTGTCTCATTTCCTTTTTTGGAAAGAAATATGTGGTCTACAACATTTCACTTTATTATACTCAAATCTCAACCACGACTTTTACTTTTTCAGCCACTTCATTAATATTTGTGTCAAGTCAAAGTAGGAGACATAAAATGGGATAGAGATAGTATTTCGGATATTCGTCGGGTCGGGTTGGGATTTTACAAACCCTACCCGCCACCCGGTCTAGGCCCAATATTAATCGGACTTTCAGTTTCGGGTTTTTCGGGTCGGATATCCACTTCGGTTCGGATAATATCCGAAAAAACGGTTTTTTCGGGTCAGATCGGGTTTTGCTCAGCCCTACATCCCCTAATTCATAGTGATACGTTAAAATAAATTAGAGTACTCCCTATGTCTAATTTATATTGTCCCATTTTACCTTTTCGGGAAGTCGCACTTAAATTGTCTCATATCATATTTGGCAAAGTTTGTGTGACTCTAAATCTTTCTTACTTGATTCTTACTTTATCAATTAATATCAACCATACAAACTCACTTTTCTTAATAACTGTGTCACCCTCTTCCGTTTCAGTATAAATGGGACGGAGATAGTATTTGGGTGGAACATGAGTGGGTTACTGGGTACTCCTCTTTGGCTGCCCTGCCCTGCTACATCGTTGTTTTGAAAAAAAAAACTCCCACGATTGGGTAGGTTTAACATAAATAAACAAATACACCAAACTGGAGTTAGGTGAACTGCCATCCTCAGCTCCTAGCTTCCAAGTCAAACGACACCAGTCACTGAAGGGAATCACGTCCAGTGAACCTCTACTAGTACGCCTTTCCATTCCAAACTCTGCCGTTATTGACTCTGGGTTCATCTATGGATCCTAGCGCTGCTCCTAGATCCGAAATGCTCGTCAATTTGGCCCGTAGACTCTCCTTGTATAAGCCTGCTCACAGTCTGGACGAACCCTCAAGCGAGAACTTGACGGGTCAAGCAGACGATAAAGTCGCCCAAAATGTGGGGTTGAATTCAAAATCTGTTACAAACCCAATCACTATCACCCCACCAATGTCCAAGTCTAAAAGGGCTGCGGTTTTGATCTGTTTGTTCGAAGGAGAAAGCGGCGATCTTTGTGTCGTTCTTACCAAAAGATCCTCTAAACTGTCTTCCCATCCAGGTGAGTTCTCCTATTTGAGGTTACTGCAAAAAATGAAAGATAGATCCAAGAAGCCTAAAATACACTCCTATGACTTTGCAAGTGTATTACAAAAGTGATTAATGTGTGTCCCAAAGAGAGAAATCAAGCAGAAATTGCTGCGAACCATAAATTCCTTGTAAAAAAAGATGGGGACGGACGAAAAATGAAATAATGCAGCTAATTTTGGGACGGATGGAGCATTATTTTCGTGAAGTTCTTACCTTCGTCTCATTCAAAGGTTTCATGTCAAAACGGCACAATTATTTAAACAATAATTAAATAAAGTAATTCAAATATATTTTGAGAAATAATTTTAATTACTATGTAATAGTATGGGGTTAATATTAATAATTGTGATGTTATAAATATATTATTTTTAAATTTAATGATTGAATTGTCATTTAAGATTGTTAATTGTTTTCTAAAATAGAAACGGGAATTTTTATATGGAACGTTTAAAAAGGAAAAGTGAGAACCTTTCTACAGGATGGAAAAAGTAGTTTCTATGAGTTTCTATGCTTTATTTGATTACATTTCATTTATTAATATATGATTATTATTTTTAAATAATGTTGAGTTCCTCTTATTATTAATTTTCAAAAACTGAATTTTTAAACTTTTTAACTGATAGAGAATTAAAAATTGAGAAACTTATCCCACTAAGACTTCCTCACTTTTTCAATATGACTAGTTTTCTTATCAAGATAATATTTAAATAATGTATTTAATAAATAATTTTTATGAACTAATATGACCTTAGGCCTTTTTATTTCAATATTACTAAAATGAATGAAAAAGATAAAAAAGTGACTTGTTTTAAATTTTTCTAAAAATATGACTAAAAGTCATTTATTCCTTATATTTAATTATATATTTATTTATTAATAGTCCTTTTATACATTTGTGGCCACTAGCACCTCCGGACCGCCGACCCTAGCACCACCACTGCCACCGCCGCTGCCACTGCCGCCGTCGACTCCGGCCAAAGTGACTCCGGCCACAGTGACTCCGCCGCCACAGTGACTCGCCGACAAAGTGACTCTGCCGCCATAGTGACTGTCTCCGCCCTCAGCCAGTGACTGCCACTACCCCGGCCAGTGACTGCCACTGCCCGGGCCAGTGACTGCCATTGCCCCGGCCAGTGACTGCTGCCCTACATTACACCGAATAATTTTCCGGCGGCCACCCAACCGGCACCGTCAGCTACAATCTCTATAGACTGCTCAATACCCCTGTCCCTCCGGCCTCTCCTAACCTGCGAGCTCATCCTTGTCGTTCAACACCATCACCCACCAACATCTATCCCCAACCCCCAATTCGTCACTCCCCCAACCTCCAGCCCATCACCATCGGCACAGATCTACCCCAGCCAACAAATTTTAGCCCCAACCAACAGATCTCAACCCAGCCACCACTATTGTAACCATAGCCGCCGTTCACCACCGGCGTAACCCTAACCGCAACTTTCACCTCAGATCTAAAAATAGAAGACGAGGTCACGGAGAGGAGCGTATCTGGAGCGCCGATGGATTATGGCAGCCCAGTGGAGGTGCGGCCATTGAGGATGACGCCTAGATCTTCGATTTGAGTTGTAGCAATTATGGTGGAGAAGAAATGAGTAGAAGAAGAGAGTTGCGGCGGGGAGGGCAGCAATGGCAGGAGAGCGGCGGCGAAGGAGATAGCCGACAGTGATGCAAGACGCGGTCGACCGAGCTCTCCTTCCGAGCAGATGATGCGAAGCAGATGGCCATCTGCGCTAGAAATCAGAATGGACATCGAGGTGCGCTGGGATCTATGCGAAGGTGATGCGGGCATTGAGCTGATGGGCTCTCTCCAGATTTGTCATATTTTTGGAAAAATAGAGATAAGGTTATATTTTTAGAATTCAATACTCTAATTGTAATACGGATGCAAATTTTAAACTTTTTAACTGATAGAGAATTAAAAATTGAGAAACTTATCCCACTAAGACTTCCTCACTTTTCCAATATGACTAGTTTTCTTATCAAGATAATATTTAAATAATGTATTTAATAAATAATTTTTATGAACTAATATGACTTTAACCTATTGTTATACGGAGTAATTCCTTAACTTCCTACTCTCTTCTTCATCGCTTGCTTGGAGTCACCACGCCACCCGCCACCCACTGCCTAATTGCCCAGTCACCCAGTCGCCCGCCACCCGCCACCCGCTCGCCCGCCATCAGCCTCCGACCGCCAACCACCCTTCGACTACAGCCTCTTATTCTTCTCTTTCTTCTTTTCGATTTCTTGAAATAAGAGTTGGTCGGGTGCCTGGAGGACGGCGTTGGACTGACGGTTAGGGACGAATAACTCTCCCTTGTCTCGATGGACGAGATTTGTGCTCTCAGGCAGACAAGCGGATCCGTTCTTCTTTCTCTTGTCGACGACACAATTGCCGTCATTGAACTTGTACAGTGAATGAATGCATTATATGAGAGTGTTGTGCAGTGAACCGAAGCCAATATATAACACAACATAATGTTGGCGTGAAATGCAATGATTATGACAGAAAGTGTAGTAATGTAGAGTATTAGTGCTAGCATAAATTGCAATATATTGAATTGCACGAAAAAACTCCTAAAAGAAATTGTAAAAGAATTATAAATTCCTAATATTTTCATAACGTCGTGCATTAACGCCGTAATAAAATGCACTAATGTCACTTCATGTGGTAATGCAAGCATGAAGTGCAGTATTTTTAATTGACAATAAAAGTACAAAAGCACAAAATGCACATTTCTTTAACAAGAGTATTTTCGTCCTTCATCATATTGATGAGATTTTCTTTCATATTTTCATTTTCAATCATACGAATGTCTAAAATACGAATAGTCATATTTTGAAAAACTTAATAAGGTTTAACCGTATCTCGCGAAATTTTCCATTAATGATTGAGGTGAAAATGAAAGTGTTTGGACTAAAAGGAAACATATAAGTTCATCCACCTTTGACATTTGTGTTTTGGTAGGTGAAGTTGCATTGCCAGGAGGGAAAATGGAAGAAGGTGATGCCAATGATATTGAAACAGCTCTAAGGGAGGCTAAGGAAGAGATAGGCTTAGACCCCTCAATTGTGCATGTTATTACTCTTCTTGAATCATTTACAAATAAGGTATATTTCTCAAACTATACACTATGTATATTCAATCGAAGCAGAAAAAATTGAATAAAACCAAACTCAGGTAAGCAAAACCAAATTAAACCTTAATACATATATTCCCTAAATAACAAATCCAAACTTAGTTTGGTATAAACATGGTAATCCTTCTTTGTGCACAATTCATGAGGCACATTGAAATACTCAAAAATATTTTTGCTTATTATTTTCTTTCATACTTTTGATTATCTCTCCTACTCTTTCTACACTATTCATTACCCTTACCATTTTTTCAAAATACTGGGGTAGTATTGAATTTCTAAATAGTATGGAGTAGAATCTAAATATGAGCTCCTGAATAGTATTACATCCAACCCATTTTGGTTTCTATTCTAAAATGACAAGCTTTTTTACATCATCTCCAATGGTTATAACTTTATAACTAAGGACTTGCTTGCAGTTTTTTAAAATATTGAAGCTACAAGCATATCATTGGAGTACATTTTATCTCCTAACTTGAGCAAGCAAATTTGCCCATACAAGCTACTTGCTAGCCGGAAAAGAAGTTTGAACTAAAATAGTAATTACCAAATACTACATACTTCACACAAAAAATTGTGATGTGTAATTTACTACATGTTAATTTACTTGCTAAAAAGTAATTATATAGAGTAATTTATGCTCATATTAGACTCACCTCTTTTAGGAGCAGGATTTCAATCTTAATATTAGATTTGGCTTTCAATATGCCCCTATTGAACTTGACAAAATAGTCTTCATTTTGCAGAAAGGCATGACGGTAATTCCAGTGGTCGGCTTAGTTTGGGACAGAAGTTCAATGAATTTAGTTGCAAATGCTGACGAAGTAGACTCAATATTTTATGCACCCTTAGAGATGTTTCTTAAGGTTCACATTTGAGTCTTATAAATTCTTGAAAGTAATCGTGTTTCTACTTCATTTATGGGAATGCTTTGTTCAAATTTGCAGAATGAAAACAGAACAGAAGAGGAGCGGGAATGGATGGGGAACAAGTATCTACTGCATTTCTTTAACCATCAATCAAAGGATGAAGTTTATATTATATGGGCTCTAACCGCTGGAATTTTAATCAACGCCGCGACCATTATATATCAAAGACCTCCCAACTTCGAAGAAAGACGTCCAATATTTTGGAAGTGAAGAAGCTGCAGTTGAAAAAAATAACCTTTTGTCCAAGCCTTTTAATTCTTACTATGACGAACCGCGAATGCCACACTTGCTCATATGGTTATAAGTCCGTATTTAGACACGCATTTGATGTGTGTTGGGATCGGCTTTGATGGTTTTCCTAGCTTTAAGGTGTTACAAGTCTCAATTTTAGCTCAAGTTATGTTTATCGGGCGTTGGTTCGAGTTTTGTGTTGTTTGGAGTCAAAATCAGGAATTTAGAGTACGGCACCGGCGGTTGAGAAGCAATCGGGAAGAGTTGGAGAACATTGGAGAGAGATTTGAGAGTTTTGGAGGCCACCGGGAGGTTCACGGCGAAGATTTGATGAAGAAACGGCCTTTGGATCAATTAAAGAAGCATCCGGGAACAAACCGTAAGGAATATGACAAGAAAACGGTCCAAGAGCATTCCGCGCGCCCCGCGGTGCGGTTCCGCACGCCCCGCGGACGATTCTGAGAGCAAATAGTTGAGGGGTCTGAACCGCACACCGCGCGGCCGAAACCGCACACCGCGCGGCCGAAACCGCACACCGCGCGGTCCAGAAATAGCCCCCAGAAGTACCCGCGCAAGTTGCATAGTGCGGCGCCCGCACACCGCGCGGGCGGAGCGAAAGTCGAAAGACGGAAAAACGCGCGCGTGACCGCGCGGTGACCCGCACGGCGTGCGGACGACCGTGCGGCCTGATTTTCGGCCTTTTTTTCGGATTTTTCTATAAATAGACCCCTGTTTTGCCTGTTTTTGGGGGATGAGCTTAGAGAGATAAACCCTATTTCGATTTTTGAGAGCTTTTCAAGCCTTGTTCTTCAAGATTAAGGGATTCTTTGTAAGTTCTATCTTTTTAATTAATGACAATTAATTCTTTTTATTCCAATTCTATTGATTCTTTAATTATGAATTGTGAGTAGTTTTAATTAGGGATTTGGGATTGATGAAGGGGTTAATCATGATGTATGACTATATTCTTTTCGGTTTAATAGCATGAATGCCGTTTAATTTGTGTTTGAATAATTTAATTGATATCTTTTGTAACCTAGAATCGCGACTAGAATTACAATTGCATGTAGAATAAATTAAGAGAGATCTAATTTGTTCTAGGACACATTCACACACACTTAATTGTTCGATAAGAGATTAGTAGCGGTTAAGGGGCCGTAAGCTCGCTCGTTTTGGCAATAATTTAGGATCCTGTCGCATGAGAGATCAGCCTGGTCCCCTAAATTATTGTACTCTACGCCGCGAGAGCGGTAAGAACTTAGTAATGATTAGCTAGGCTCAATTAAATTAATTTCATGTAATTAGGCCTGATCTGCCAGAAATCTGGTTACCCCGGAATCGATCCCTGTTCCCTTTGTCGTTAATTAGAAAGAAACCAAACATTTATCTTATTCGCTCATTCGCATTAGTTTAATTTAATTTTTATTCAATCAATCAATCTCGCACACTTGCATTTTTTTTTGTTTGTTTTTTTGTTTGTGTGTTTTGTTTTTGCAGCTCAGGGTCTTGCTTTGGGGATGATGTGCCGAGGATCACTTGACTCAGTTTAATTCTGCACCGACCAATGCCTTAGGGAAGTTTCTGTGACTCTAATAATCGCATGTTTGTAATAATTGACTTGAGCTAAGTTGAGCACGCGTGACCCTTTCCTCTTTACCCCCTTGTGCATAGTGCATTTTTGGTCATCGAGGACGATGTCAAAGTTTAAGTGTGGGGGAGTGAATTGGGCATTCGGGCAATGGTTGTTACATGAGATTTTTAGAGTTAGCATGCGCAAGTGTTAGTTGTATATTCATAAGGAAATTCATGTCAAAATTTTTGAAAATTTTTCTTTAAACTGTGTCTTTGTGAACTGACTAGCGTTTTGACTATGCTTTTATGACATTCTTGAAGTGTTTAAGCTTAAATTGCTTGCATGGTAATTGATAGATTAATTCTAGAGAGAAGGGAGAGCTAGAGAGATAAAGTGATATGTATAATGAATTCCAATCAATCATCCAATCAATCCTCCTCCTTTACATGGCTCCCATAGGGAGTATTTATAGGAGAAAAGAGGGCTGGGCTTCCAGGCTTGGGCCTGGCTGGCCCAGTTACAATAAAAGGCCAATAAATGGCTAATAAATGGTATCTAATCTATTCTAATGGATATACATGAATAAAATAGAGTGTACAATGAGATAAATGCTATCTACGGAGCGTATGTGGGCCGCTGTCCGGGCCCAATAGTGGTGAGACCCGGGGGTCAGAGTCTATATACTCTATCAGGAGTCCCCCACTCTCTGAGTCGAGAGTACTCGAGGCGAAAGAGAGTAGAACTGTGTGCTGATCTGTCGTCGTCCGGTGAGTAAACTGCTCTCATCGTCGAAGCGCCTCGCCCGGATTCCCAAGCCGATGATCCGATCCCACTGGTGAGCCCTGGCTGAGGCAACCCTGTGGGAAAATCCTCAGCCGAAGGTCGCAGGCCAGAGACCATCACCACCGGTCCTGAGGCCGGGGAGCTATGTATATGTACTGGCCGATGTGGCAGCTGAATATGTATGTAATATGATGATGTCGTCGGTGCGAGTGGCAATCCTTGCAAAAATTTTGAATTTCTGCTTCTTTGGTAGCGAAGGCGCTAAGTCCCCCGCTCTCCCAGTCCCCCACTCCTTGAGGCGAGTGTAACGAGGTGAAGAGGAGTAGAGTAATGCATGTCTGATGATGTCTGCAACAGGGGGCCGAGGGTTGACACCTTTTGATCCACAATGGGGCGATGCCTCATTAAAAACCTCATTAGGAAAAACCCTGTGGGAAAAAATCCTAATGAGGGAAAAAGAGTACATCGGATGCCCCCAGAACGAAGCAAAAGGTGCGAGCCCTTCGGCCTAGAGGTGGAGCTGCAGCGGTGTCCGTCTGCCGAGGGGATGGCCGAGGCCGATCCATAGATGTGGGTAGCTCGTCATGATCAGTAGTCCTAGTCATCAAATAAAGATGACTAAGGGATGGGTCGAGCGACCGTCCATAATATGATGTCTGGTTCATCAAATAACGATGACCAGAATATGAGGCCGATGGGCCGATGTGAGCTCCACGTCATCAAATAAAGATGACTGGGAGTAGTGGCCGAGAGGCATATATGAGAGCTCCACGTCGTCAAATAAAGACGACGGGGCGAGATATGGCTCAGAGGCCTATAGATGAGTTCCTCGTCATCAAATAAAGATGACAGAATAATATATGGCCGATGGGCCTGTAGATGAGGTCTTCGTCATCAAATAAAGATGACAGAGCGGTACATGGCCGATGGGCCTGTAGATGAGCTCTTCGCCATCAAATAAAGATGACGGAGCAAGATATATGGCTGATGGGCCTGTATGAGAGCCCTTCGTCATCAAATAAAGATGCTAGAGCAAGATGTGGCCGAGGGGCCTATAGATGAGATCTGAGATCCTTTAGTCTCTGAGCCGGAGACCGCAAGATGTTTGCTAGATCCGAACATGAGGACGAGGCGTTGGACGCCTGTCTGAATATGAGGATGAGGCGCTAGGCGCCTGTCTGAATATGAGGACGAGGCGTTGGACGCCTGTCTGAATATGAGGACGAGGCGTTAGACGCCTGTCTGAATATGAGGACGAGGCGCTGGACGCCTGTCTGAATATGAGGACGGGGCGTGGGACGCCTGTCTGATGATACGATGATGAGGCAATGCTGAGCCGATCATCATATAGAGGCGACGGTCGCCATCCAGGAGGGGATGGCGAGCCCGATCGCTAACCGAAGACATTCGGCAATGAGAGGCCGGTCTCGGAAATAGGACATCACATCGTTGCCTAGGGGCCGATCGTGATGTGAGGACGGCCGTGATAAGGAGCCGATCCAAAATAACAATGACGAGGCGATGATAAGCCGGTCGCCATGTAGGGGCGATAGTCACCATCCAGGAAGGGATGGCGAGCCTGATCGCTAGCTCAACACACTCGGCGCTGATGAAGCCGGTGTTGAGATAGATCATCACGCCGAGGCCGGGGCGGCGGTCGTGATATAAGGATGTCGATAATGGGTAGCCGATCCGAATAATGATGACGAGGCAGAGATGAGCCGGTCGTCATGTAGAGGCGACGGTCACCATCCAGGAAGGGATGGGGAGCCCGATCGCTAGCTCAACACACTTGGCGCTGATAAAGCCGGTGTTGAGATAGGGCATCACGTCGAGGCCGGGGGGCCGATCGTGATGCGAGGTCGTCAGCACTATGAGGCTGAGCCAAACGTCCAAGCAACGGTCGCCATCCGATGAAGGAATGACTGAGACCGGTCTTGGGGAATATGATCACGTCGAGGCCGAGGGCCTGCCATGATCGGAACTGAGGGGCCGACCCAAAAATCCATGCAATGGTCGCCACCCAGTAAAGGAATGGCTGAGACCAGTCTTGATATAAGGTACCGCGCCTTGGCCGAGAGGCTGGCCGCGATGCGAGGATGACGACTATGATAAGCCGGTCCAATGTATGATGACGAGGCAATGATAGGCCAATCGCCATGTAGAGGCGACGGTTGCTATCCCGGAAGGGAATAGCAAGCCCAATCGCTAGATCAAGACACTCGGCGCTGAGGGAGCCGGTCTTGAGATAAAGCATTACGTCGTGGCCGAAGGGCCCGATCGTGATGTGAGGACGAAGATGCTGAGGAGCATGTCCGAGATATGATGACGAGGCAATGATAAGGCCAATCGTCATGTAGAGGCAACGGTCACCATCCAGGAAGGGACGGCGAGCCCGATTGCCAACTCAAGACACTTGGCGATGAGAAGCCGGTCTTGAGAAGGAATAATCACACCAAGGCCGGGAGGCCGGTCGTGATGTGCGGATGGCGATGATGATGAGCCGATCCGAATAATGATGATGACGGAAATGCGAAAATCATGAGGAAACAGGAAACGTCAACTTTTGTTAAAAAAAAGCTTGTTTGGAGAGTTTCCAAAGAGTTTGCGTAGAGTTTCCGAAACAGAAACGTTCTCTTTTCCGAGAGCTTCCATGCTATATGGTAAATCATTGGGCTCTTGGGGTCTTCCTGCTTTCTCCATTTTGATCAGAGATAATTGTAAATCCCACTTTCACTATTCAACCATATATGCAAGCCCCACATATTGACAAATTCAACAATGTATTTAGTTATGATTCTCACTTAGTAACTTACACTTCCATGGCTTGGGGTTCTCCTTAAAAAATGACACAATTTTAGGCTAAGTAAAGTAATATGAGTATATTTTGAGAAGTACTACCTTTGTGCCACTAATATTGGGACATGAATAGGCAGTGCGGTTATTAATATAAGTGATTTGTATGGTTGATATTGAATTCATAAAGTAAGAATGATTTCGAATCACAGATTTTCTACCAAATATGGTATGAAAAAGTCTTGAGTGGGACGGAATAAAAAGGAAGTATGGAGTAATTGATGATAATTGTGATCTTATAGGTTAATTAATTTTTAGATGTAATGATTAAGTTATCATTTCAAACATTAACCTCGGGCAAGGAATTCTGGGTTTGTATGTCACCATAGAATTCATGTAAATTAGATAAAATTTGATTTTGGCACTGATTAAAGGAAATAAAGATATAATGTTCATACTACCTCCGTAACTGATATATCTTCCCATGTGAAAAGTAGGTGAGATTAAGAATAGTGATAGGAGATATAAATTATTGAGGGTATGATGGGAAAATAATGAAATAGTGTGTTGGAATGAAGGAAAAATCCAAAAGAAGTAGTTGTAATAGTGTATTATTTTTAAAATTATTGAGGGTATGATGAGAAGATTTTGAAATGGGAAGATATGATTGTTACAACTAAAAAGGGAAAGTGGGAAGATATGAGTGTTACGGAGGGAGTAGTATTTTACCATCGTACCGTCCAAAAATGGTACTCCCCGTCCTATAAATGACAAATTTCTTTCTTTAGTGGACCCAGAAAAATTTGTAAATTTCATTTAAAGTAAGAAATACATGCATAATATTAATATCCACCATCCACACAAATTATAAATGTAACATCACAGTTTTTATTTATTTATTATTCAATATATTAGTCACAATTGGCCATGAGGTGTATTAAGAAGTCTAGCACTTCTTTTGGGATGTTCCAAAATCACCAAAATAGAGTTTTCCTTTCTATAAAAAGGAGTACTCACATGATTCACATCTACTCTATTTTTGTCTACTTGAAGTTATTGAGCGGCGTCAGATTGAAGATTTAAGTTTTCAACAAAACAATTGAACTTTGGATCCCAAGACCCAATAAATCAATAATAATGACAGATTTTTGGAAGCCAATTTATGGTCAACAAGAATACCTTGAAGAAGGAGACAATGGAGCGCAGATTGTTCTGGTACTCATCAACAGGCACGTGCTGGAAGGCAGATGATCGATCTGGAAGAGAGGCGTCGTTGGCACCGAAAAACACCGTCACCGCCAGCGGCGGCGAACCCGCACACTCCTCTGCCGGGAACGCCGCCTTGTCGAGAATCCTCAGAGCCCATCTTGTGTTGTAACCGCTGTAGCCTCTCAGCACCACATCAGCCTGGAACAAAATCAAAATATGGTGGTGATCATCAAAAGAACAAAAATTAAGAAGAAGAAGAAGAAGAACATGGCCGGAGGCGCACCGTGCAGCGGAAGTGATTGGCGAGGGCAGCGCCCCAGCCACCATTCTCGAAAGAAAATTCCGTGATGGAGTCTCCGAAGAGATAAACCTTTGGCCTCATATCCGTCCTCTGTCTCCCACCTTCTTTTACTAGTGGGTGACGGTACGACTTATATACAGAGTATCTACATGGTACACGAAAGTTGCATTTTTCAGGTGGACTAAGCAGTATTATATTTTAATTTAAAAAATGCGTCCAAACTCCCTGTGTTTTAGTTAATTATGCGCAAAATTCTTTCTAGGAACAAATCCAATTGTCAAATAAAAGAAATATGAGTAATAATATTTATGTATGATTTAGAGATTTTGACATATTTTACTTGAACATTCAATCAGAATATCAGGAAGAGGTAATTTGAGTTTTCACCACATTTTATTGTCTAAATTGGACTTCGCACCCCATTTTTAAAAATCTTTGTTTTTGCACCCTAACTCCATATGAAAAGACAAAAATGTCCTCTATCAAGAATATGTTGAAGACCAACAAAATTGTTAACGTAAGGGTATTTTTGTCTTTTCATATGGGGTTGGGGTGCAAAAACAAAGATTTTTAAAAACGGGGTGCAAAGTCTAATTTGGACAATAAAATGGGGTGCAAACTCAAATTACCTCTATTAGGAAAAGTGATTTCTAAATCGTTAAATATATTCATAAAATGGGTTTTGTGCATGATTAATTAATTAAAACACAAGGAGATTTGACACATTTTTCAAATCACAGTGGGCTAATGCGCTGAATTTCTATATCACAAGGGGGTTTGGTGCATTTATCCCACTTAAAACGGCCAAATTATCAAATTGAAAAAAAACAAGGTACTTTGCCAAATTGGTATAAAAAAATCAATTAAGTCAAATTGGTAAAATAAAATGAGTCCTCATGACAAATTGCTCAAATTTTGTGAGTGAGACACTTTTGATCATGGATTTTAGAATTTTTGACATTTCATATTCTAAGCATCGTGAAATTCCATTTGCTGTCATTCTACTTTGAGTTTGTTATAAAAAGTGGAGAACTAAAATTGTCAACAATCGTGTTTGATATTTTACAACGTAGGGCCAAATTGGTAAAAAAAAAAGGAGTTCAAGTGACAAATTGGTAAATTTTTTGTGAGTGACAGTTTTGATTCTCAACTTTAGAATTCACGACATTTCATATTCGAAGTATTGTGCAATTGACATTTTCAGTCATTCTACTTTGATTATATCATAAAAAAGTGGAGAACTAAAAATATCAATGATCGTGTTCAATTAGATTTAGAAAATCTAATCAAATAGTTATATTTAAAATATTAATAATAATATGAATTTATATGTGTCTGCTCGCGTTAACGTACATATGTTAAAAATAATAATGGTAGTTGTCATTTAAAATAAACGGAAATATATCTCTTAAAACTTTTTCCAAGACTTGTCAAAAATAAAGGAAATAAAATTGAGTTAAATATATCAACTTTTTAATGCATATCTTTAATGGTCACTTTATGTCTTAAAAGCTAATTACAAATAGTTAAATTATTAACATTTTATTTCACACCGCTAATGAATGCGGCTAGTTCAAATAGCTATCGGAATCTGCTACATCAATATCTTGATTCAACCGGCTATCGTCGAGCAGACAAGTGTTAAGATCAAACACGACAGTTGACATTTTTAATTCTCCACTTTTCATGACAAACTCAAAGTAGAATGACTGAAAATGTCAATTTCACGATGCTTAGAATATGAAATGTCGAAAATTCTAAAGTCAAAGATCAAAAGTGTCTCAAACACAAAATTTGACCAATTTGTCACGGAGACTTTTTTTTAACAATTTGACTCAACTGGTTTTGTTTTTACCAATTTGGCAAAGTACCTTGGTTTTTTTTACCAATTTGGTAATTTGGCCCACTTGAAACTATAAAATACATGAATTTGCATTTTAAAGTCAATTAAGTATATTTGCTCTGTTAAAACGTTAAAACAATTTCTAACATCCCGATCCCGCAGGACCTGAGGTAGTTACTCCACATACTCTCCGGACCTCTAGTACTGTCCCTACAAACCACCACGAGCCTTTACCGCGCAGTTTGTCCTCACTCATGCGCGCCCTGAGAAACTTCCCAGTGGGGTCACCCATCCCAAGACTACTCTCGTGCAAGCATGCTTAACTTTGGAGTTCTTGGGTGATGAGCTCCCTTAAAAGGATATGCACATCTGTTGGTATGAGTAGTACTATTAATCCGTTTATATTAAATCTCAAGTGTTACACAGTTGACCTGACTAAACTATCAGTTTGTAATATATTGTTGCAATCGAAATAATCAAATAATAATCTATAAACTCTAATTTCCCCATCTTCACTCGTTTCCACATTCGCTCTTCAATTTATATTTCTCACATTTGCTCTCCCTTCTCTCGCTCTTAATCTTAGTATTTATCGCGTCTGTTCTCCAAGGGTGGAGCCAGGGCACTGGGCCGGACTGGAGCAGAACAAAGAATATTTTGAGGGAAAAGTTACACAATATTTTTAGTTTAAAGTTGAATCATTTTTTTACATTTGAGGTGGGTCGGGCCCTAGGTTGCCCCCTAGCTCCGCCCGTGTTGCTCTCCTTCTCTTTTGTCTTCTCTCCCTGCTATCCCGCCAACTTCTTCTTTTATTTGCTATTGGTCCATCTTTATTATAGCAAGAGAAGAAGAAAATAAAATAGAGCAAAAAGAAGAAGCCGACATGATAGCATGGAGAGCAGACGGGAGAAATATAAAATGTAGAGAGAAGAGAAGGCAAAGCAGATGAGAAAAATATAAGAGGAAGAGCGAAGGTAAAAACAAATGGATAGGAGGAAAATAGAATTTGTAGATTAATTGTATGATGACTTGGACTGCAACTATATAATACAAACAGATAGTTTGACTTGGTCAGGTATTTTAACCTTATGACATAACAAATGTACTTGATTGACTATAACAATACAAGTTCATGTAGTTAAAAATTTCAAATGCAAGATGAAATACAACTAACTCCCGTCAATACAATTTCATGTACCATTTTAACTATTTCCTCCATAAAATATTACCAATAAAAGTCATGATTTAATAACTATTAGTAATTATAATTGTACTTATAGTTTATATCATAATTATTATTACATTATAATATCCTTGAAAACAATTATGCCTAAAACTTATTAAATGATATTTTTGTCCAACCACTTTTCTAGAAATAATACGAAGTACGTAGTATAAAAGTATTTTTTTCTTTCATTAAAGATCAGAGGATATGCAAGTTATAATACGGAGTTTGATGAGTTTTGGGATGATATACATAAGAATTTAACGGATGTTGGATATAGAAATATCCAGTAGTTTAACATACATCCGTATGTGTTTGTGATAACTGCCCTTTTTATTAAATGCTACTAATACTGTAATTTAAGATCAGAGAGGTATTATTTGTCGATAGTTTAAGCCTTTAAGGTCCATCTAGCACACATACTTGATTCAGGTACTATAGTGCCGTACCCAAAACGTTCCTATGTTAGATATTCTATGATACCTATATCATATGTTCCCGGACCATAACGGTAATTTTGTACAATTTTTTTGATAATTATTTTAAGAATTCTGATCCACGTCTCAACTTTTTCTTTATAAAGAAAACACCCAAAAATTAAATAATACGGAGTATGTCTTAAGAATATTTATCAGAACTTTTGCTTTTTTCTTGGAGTATTATTTTCTATCTTTATTAAAAAAATTTAAAACAACAACTTTGAGTATTTGAACTTTAAATTTCAAAATTGTGATTGTTTGAAATATTTCTCATTTCAAATTAGTGGTTTATTGATTATGTTTATCTGTTGAGACGTAATAGTGAATACAAAGTATGAGATAAAGTATAAATTTATTTCAATGTCATGAATGTGCAAAAGATATATAATACATGTAAATATTTTCCAAAAAATTCTTGTAATTTTTAACATTTATCAATATACTCCATAGTTTTTATATGTTTGTAAATATACCCCATAACTTCTAATATTTATACATATACATCCGTATTCGTATCCTACTTTATTTTGTCATATCCTCGTAACTGTTTTCGCGTTTCCGCATTTTTGCACTCCTGTCGCCGTATCTGTGGTCAATGCTCCATAGTATATAGGGGTTGACACGCTCCCAATCTGGACCGATCCTAGTCCCCGACCAGTCAATTCATAATCGAATTCGAACCGGTGCCGAGATCAGGAACATGTCCACTCGTAATAGAACTACCTACTTACTTGTATATATGCTAGGGGTGGGCACGGGCCGGGTCGGGGCGGGTAATGCAAAATAAAATGGAACCGCCGGTTCCACCGTACGGGTCGGTCCGGTCCGGGTATTGCAACTTTCAAAATAGGAACCGGACCTTACCCGGCCCGTTTGAAACGGGTCGGTCCGGTCCGGATTTTTCGGTTCCTGTTTCTATGTCTTGAAAATTGTAAAAATTTATGAAGTTCCAAAGATCAATAATACGGAGTATAGTTTATTGACAAGTTTCAAAATAATAACATACTCAATAGAATAAGATTCTGCTATATGGATGGATAGTTATTATATTCTTGACTAATGAATGCACATATTACAACATATTTAGGAAATGTGGATAGATTCCCTAATATCAATTAAAGATGGAGGACAATGTTGATGACTAAAATATCGGATCTCTGTGGTTTGATTATACGAGAACTACTAATGGTGGTGGTGGGATGGTGATGCATTATTGTAGCAGAGTGTATCTGAAGGGTGGGAAGAATGAAGAGCAGCCAGTAGAATTGGAAGTGTACAACCAGAGATGTTCAAGACAGAGTTATGCAACAAATGGAAAGAAACATGAGGGTGTCCCTAATTTCGTAATGGAAACAAACAGAGTTTGAAATCGGAATGAGTATCAAACTAACAATATTGTGAACCCTAATTTCATATCTCATAGAGATATAGAGCCAGAGATGGAAGAGAGTTACATTTGCTCTGTAGAGTGAGCAGTGGCCGAGAGAGAAGCAAGTTCCCGGTGATGAAGGACGGAGAAGGTAAAAGAAGAAGTTCTGCCACTTACTACGCTCTCAATCGCTAAGGAAATCCCTGCAGGAACTCTATTGGAAACCAGAGCCGATGTTGCTGAACCAGAG